TGTCCTTCCAGGACACGGGAATCAAGATCTTGAACTTTCCTGTCAGCATCAATGGATCTGCGAATAGCATCATTGAAACATTTTTAAACCAAGACAATGTAACTTTTAATTTGATAGGCCAGGTCTATGGCGATTACATCTCAGAAAGCGGCATCCAAATTTTTGAAAAGCCCTTTGAAATGGAGGGCATTGGTGGGCTAAATTTTAGCCTCAAGAACGTTCAATTAAACGGGTTCAATCAAGATGAAATCTTATTTGAGATCGAAATCCTATTTGAGCACGAGCATGAAATTCAAGCGGAACTGGAAACCCTATATATTAATTTATATTATGGGAGCCAATACGTTGGGGAAGCGCAGCTCTCAAATTTAAGCATTACCACGGGGCAAAATTCATTCACCCTCGAAGCGTCAATAAACCCCAATGATGGCGACGGGCTAATTGATGACTTTATTTTATTAAATGAAATTTCGATACTGGGCGTTGGCCGATATCAACAAAACGACACCCAAAATCAAAGCAAAATGTTCGAAATTGAAATACAGTTCGAAGCATTTGGAGGGTTGCCCTTTGCATTAAACCAAATTGAAATGACCAACTTTCAAAAGGACCTCATTAGCCTGAACATCTCTGCAGAGATCAACAACCCGACGCAAATTGAGCCGCAATTTGATTTAATAATCATCGAAATTTATTATCTGGATACGTATATCGGCAAGGCAACAAAGGAAAACCAATTGCTATTGAGCGGCGACAATAGCATAGACTTTGCAGTCGGCTTAATTGAAAACGACACATCGCTGATTGAAGATTTCATTATGCAACAGAACCTTACCTTTTCGTTTATCGCCGAGGCACAAATCGGCTCGCAGGAGAACTCAGCCATCCAGTTTTTCGAAAAGCAGCATATGCTCAATGGGCTGAACGGCCTACCTTTCAATATTACATTAATTAAATTCGTTGAGTATTCCAACGATTTGCTATTTTTTGATTTAGAAATCAATTTATTTAACCCGTCAGAGTCAATTGCCAATTTCCAATTAATCTGCATTGATATATATTGGCAAAACAAAACCGTGGGCAATACCACTTTAGAGGACATCCAAATACAGCCAAATGAAAACATTCTATTTTTCACGGCCAATTTGGATGGCAACTCAGACGGAATCATAGATACCTTTATTGACGACCCAGAAATAGTACTCGACCTCGTGGCATACATCCAGTTCGAGAATGACGATGGTGAAGGGGAAGGCAGTGGCGGCGGTGATGATGATGATAGGTTGCATTTGTTCAATTCAACAGTCAATGTGCAGGCAATGAATGGAATTAACACAATCATCGGCGATTTCAAAGTACTCAATTCCACAGACGATTCTTTAGAATTGTCAATTGAAGTCTCACTTGAAAATCCAACAGAAATCGAAATGATCATCGAAAGCACTGATTTTGAAGTTTTTTTTAAAAACAATTCGGTGGGGATGGGCACAAAACAAAATATCACCTTTTCCCCAGGTGTGATCGATCTCAATTTAATTTTAACAATGCAGGGCGACGACGAAATCATTTCACAGTTTCTTGGTGATTACATCAGCGGGGAGACGCTCGATTTGCAAGTTAACATGTCCATATTCTTGGAATTGACCGAAAATAGTGATCCCTTCGAAATCAATTTACTGATCGATACCGAAACAACTGGAATACAATCCGAATTAGTGAAAGTTGAGGTGCAAGACATCGCAATCTCACTCGTCTTTATGTCAGTCACATACACCGTGACCTGGGAGGTCGACATCTGTAACCCGTTGGATTTTTCAATTATAATTACCTCCTTTAAGGGCAACGCCACATTTAATGACTCAGATGGATCCTCTTTCTTGATTCTCAGTTACCCCGCCGAATATAACATTTTTATCACTTACTTGCAATTCGATTGGCAGGAAGAAGAAAAAATAATCACAAACGAATCCTGTATACAACAAGTAGACGTGTTCTCAGACAATGACTTAGAATTAGGAATTAGATTAAACAGCGAGTTGGATAGCGGCGCATTGCTTATAGATATTTTTGATGCAGAACTTGGATTGCAAATTGGCAAATATTCAACAACAGTAATCGTAGATTTGCTAAAGATTCCAGTTGAGGAATCATAGCATTCGGCTGTAACCTGATTGAAAACAAATTGATTGCTTTTTGTGTTTTTTTTTTAATTTTTTTGGATATTTTATTTGCATTTAGGCTGATTCATTATTGAGACACAATTTTGTTTTAATCATATATATATATCTATATATATATATATTGCTTGATGAAACATTTAATTTATTTGCAAATTATTTTGGATGTAAATTTGTGTTGTTGCTTTTTTTTTCTGTGTTTTTTTTTATAATAATTAAAAAAACTTTCTTTTTAAACAAAGTCGTTTTAAAAATGTTCAAAAGAAAAGTTTTCAATAAAACCTGCAAAATAGTTTTGTTAAAGTTCGTTAACTGCTTTATACTTTAACGTTTCGAAAACCCTTTGTCACATTTTTTAAAATTACTAAACTATTTTTCAGTCAAAGGGGCCCAGTTGTAATGGTATAATACACGTGTTTAAAGGGTTTGCATAGATATTAGAAGAAAAATTTTATTTTGGAAATTTTCAAAATTGAAATCATTTTTTCACATTTCTACACATTTTTGTTTTTTTTTTTTCAATTTTTTTTTTAAAAATGTCATTCATTTGCAAAAAATTTTTTATTGCAAGATCAATAGTCACTTGGTAAAAACGTGTTATTCTAATGTCATTGAAACCATGTAAAGATTGTTGAGAAATTATATTGTTTTCTATTGCAATTCAATTTGATCTTTGATCTTGATATTTGTTTAATAAAAGTGAAAAATTTTCACTTCATTTTCATTTCCTTTTTCAAATAGAGACCACAAATACCAACAAACTTTGTTTGGGGGCTTAATTTCTAAAAGAAAAGTATGGAAAATGAAGTGAAAAATGTTTCCTATTTATTATTCAAATACCAGTAGAAGTTCAAAACAAACATCCTTGTTTTTCTCAATAGTGCCCTAAGGATTTGAGTTTTTCAATTTTTAAGAAAAGCTATTGATTTATTAATATTCTTTCAGACATGTATCAACATTTCTTTGAGGTGTATTATTCTGTTTATTTCTGATTTGTTCTTCAAAGGTCAATTATATAAAATAATTGATATTTGAAAAAAACGTTGGGCCCCTTTGACTGAAACAGAGTTTATATACACCTTGATTTATTTTAAATAATATTTTTTTAGGAAAATTTTTTTTCTTTATGAGCTTTTTTTTTTTGAATAGTTTCTTTTTTGTTTACTTTGGTTGGATATTATTAATCCAAAATTGTATTTAACATTTTTTTCTGAATTATGGTTTTTATATTTTAAAATTCATATTTAAATTTCTTTTCCTAGTTGTTTTTGATTTAATTTTAGTATTTTTGATTTTTTTTTTAATGTTGTTTGAAAATTTTATACGGGTTTTAATATTTATTCTCTAAAATTGTTCCTGGAAAGAAATTTGAAAAGAAATGTAGACAAGAGTTTTAAGTTGAATAAAGAGATGCACCAATTAAGAAATTAGAGGAGATATCTCTTATAAACAGCGTTCACAGTTTGATTTATTTTTGAAAAAAAACCCAAATAATTCTTTTTTTGATTCCATGGAATCAAATTATTCTTTTTTCGTCCAATGACAAGACTCAACCCATTTCTTGTTTACAATCGGATTTTCAACGAATCACATCATTCTCAAAATTTAATAATTAATTATATTTTTTTTTATTTTAAAAAAGAATATTATATTTCTCAAAAAAATAAACATTTTTAAGGTTTTTCTTCTTGGGATTTTAGTTTTAATCGTCTTTTCATCAACCTTGAAGTTTTTAAGTTAATTACTGATAAGAAAATTATTTTTCTTTGAAATGGAACTAAAAAATTCTTTTTTTTTTTTTAATAGAGTTTTGGTACCAAATAATAATTCTTTTTTTGATTCCAGAAAATCAGAATAAGATAATTTTTAATATTTTTGAAAAAAATATACTTCAAAGGTACTTTAACAAAGAGAAAATGGTTGATAAAAATTGATCCCAGTGGAATCATTTTAATATTATGATTACAAATTTTAATTTTTAAGATTCTAAAAATTCCAAAAATGGAATCATTTTGTGAACTCTGCTTATAAATATGCCAAAATTTTTAAGATAAAAGTTATATTAAATTGAATCAGATATATTTGGTTGAAAACTGTTGTTTTAATTTAGATTGATCCAAGTTTATTGAAAAAAAAAAAAAAAAAAGTTTTTTTCATTTTTTTTTATATTTTTTTATTTAAGGAAGAAGTTCATTGTGACTTTTATTTATCTGAATTCGGAAAAATTTTTTGGTTCTGGTTTTGGCTAAAACTCAATATGTACATTAAATTGTGTTAAATTCAAATCACAATAACACATTTGATTTGAAACTTTATTATTTGCAGTGTTTATTAAATTTCCAAAATTGTTCTTTTCAATTGATTTTGTATAGATCCTGTTATTTATGAGCTTGCTGCAGATCAATATATTGTGAAAAAAAAATTTTTTTTTTTACTTTTTGAATTGGATAATTACCACAGACTTTCTCAAACCAATTTTAACTTTTTTAGTCTTTTATTTATTTGAAATAAAAATTAAAAGAATTTTCATATTTGAAAATAATTGATTTGAGAAGTTCGAAGATTAATGAGGGTTGTATGTATTACTTTTTAAAAAAAAGGACAACTCAAAGTGTTCAAAGTTAGATCTTTTTATTTCATTTTATATGATTGGAAAAAAAAAATTTTATTAAAAAATTAAGATTAAAAAATAATTTTTTTTGGTTTTAAAATTTTGTTTTTATCCTATTTTTGTTTGGTTCTCTCGTATTCCCAAAAAAAAATATGTTGTAAAATGAAGAGTTCAACATCCAACGATATCAAAAAAATAGAAAAAAAGTAAATTGCAAAATCGGGGAATCGAACCCCGGCCAACGGTTTGGAAGACCACCATTCTGCCACTGAACTAATTTTGCTAATTTACATTTAAAGTAACCTTTTTAAGTTTTAAATATTGTTAAAAGTATGTAATAAAAATCATTTTACAAACATTCATTTTATTAAATCATCAAAATTTTTAACAAAAACATAAAGATATTACTTAACACATCAAATAAAAAAAATCAACACATAAATCAAACCAAAAAAATAACCTACATAAAAATAATAACTCATAAGTTATATAATTGTGAATATATGTAAAATAATCGTGTAATACCTTTATTTTTAATCGATACACATCTTCTAAATAATTTAATTTTATATGAACAAAGACATAAACTTACCTAAAGTTCATCAAAGTAAGGTGTCTCTACAATACTAAAGTAACTGTTTGATAACCTAAATAGATCAACTTTTTTCAAAAAATCTATCAGTTGTATTTAGGTTTACTCGAAGTTTGGAAAATGATATTTTTTATTCTTGTTTTTTGAAAGATTGAATAATTTTTTGAACAAGTACAATTTCATTAATCATCATTCAAATAAGTTGGTGAGGTATAATTTAAAAAAGCTTGATTCTTAAAAAACAAAAGACTTGATTTTAAATAAACGAAATTACACAACAATTGCACAAATATCTACAATTAAAAATATTTTCCAGTATTTTTTAACATGTCCGGTATTTTTTTCACTACTTTACATTCAAATAAACAAATTCACCAAAATTAAAAATAATTAATAAGAAAAAAACAAATAATTCAAAAATCACTTTACCAAAAACCATTTTGACTTATAGACCATGGATTTAAATTTAATTTCAACTTCTCCAAGACAATCTTCCAATTTCAAGCACAATATTCATAAAAAATTGAAATCTAACTTGATCATTATTTTACATCAATTTCAAGATTAATCTAAAGATATATATTCCACTGTCTTTACAATTACAATTTTATATCAACCCATTTAAGTTTTAACTATTAATCTTGATATTGAAGATAATTGTTCAAAAAAATTGGTTTTTTGGTAAGATTTAATTTTATCAACTATTAAAATTAAAATATAAACAACTTTGATGATCATTATAAAAATGAAATAAAGTTAATAAAAGTTAAGTGTGGCACTTAGAGAACATTTTAATCCTCATCTGAATTCTTATTAACCTAATGAAATTTTGCTAATTTAATCAGGTTTACTACGTGTTCTCAATTAAATATTGAAAATTACAAAAAAAAATGTTCGACTTTTTGTGAGGTACTCATTTTTTATTTGGCAAAAGCCATATTCTTTCAATCTTTTTATTTTAAAAAAATCGATCTAATTTCTCAAACTTTTTTGCCATTTTAATCTCAAGGTTTTAAACATATTTCATTTAATAAAGGCAACTGATTAATTTTTCATTTTAAAATATTACCAATCTTCCAAATAATCTGATAAAATATACTTAACAACTATTTAATTCACACCTCTACTTCACTTTAAATCCAAAAATTTATTACCTTCCCCACTAATTAAAAATATCCATCAAATTATTTCTTTGAAGATTAATCTTTTTTTATCCTAAAAATATGCAAGAAATTATATATAAACCTTAAAAAATTTAAAAGTGAATTTCAATATCTTGTGTTACTATTTTACTTGATATGAAATTTAAGAAATATCTTATTTATAAAATAAATAAAATAATTTTACGGGAATGGTATATGTCTATTCCGAAACAGAAACTGTTATTTTTCTAACCTAACAGCGTAAAAATATTTTACAATATCAAATTTTGTTTAAGAAATCCATAATTATTTTTTTTTTATTTTTTATTTTTTTTTTGCTAATTAAGATCCTTGAACTAATATAATGTTTACTCCATTCGAAAATTTTGGACACATCCTAAATCAAAAATGGACCAAAAAATCCCAATTTATTATTATATTTTTTCAAACAAAATTCTAAAACACATTTGTATTAATCAATATTATTGTTTTTTTTAGTAATCATTTTTATCCTAATAATTTATATATATATATATATATATATTTATAAACTCTTTTTTAGTCAAAGGGGTCCAGTTTTATTGAAGAAATGGAACATATTCTATGAGTTTAATTCATTAATCTTGGCAAACTAAAATTTCAATATCTAGATCAAAATCATTTTTTCTCATTTTGTAAAATTTTTTTTTTTTGTATTTTGTTTTTTTCTTTTTTTTTTAAATGCCAAGTAAATTTAAAAAAAAAATTTTTTGATACTCCGCAATTAGCATTTAGAAAAGTTATGTTTTGTATATTCTTTTAAATTTCATACATTTACAAGTCAAAAATCTTATTGTCAACAATTTTAATTTCCTATGGAAATTGTGAATTTAGTACCAGACATTCCAATGAAAAGAGCCCAATAATTTTTTTTTTTTTTTTTTTGTTGTTATTTATGGTTTATTCAGGCTTTTCTTTTATGATTATCGACTCTAATACGAAGTTTAGTATTTCTCATATTTCTAAACAATCTAAGTTTAGTTAATTTTTAAAAATAAAATGACTTTTTCATTTTTGACTGAGCCCCTTTGATTGAAATGATGTTTAGATATATATATATATATATATATATATATATAACAGCATAAAAATAATATATGTATCCAAAATGATGAAACCATCTGAACAAAAAATTGTAAAGTATTTATTATCAGTGTTTAGATGAAACTTCCTGTAATCTGTTGAAGAGAGAATTTAAAGGTAACTAAATTTGAGATTTCTAATTCAAAGAGTATCTAATAGATAAAGTCACCCGAAGTATTTGAATCTTTATTTAGTTTTCTAAAACAAGAAAGAGTAAAAAAATGAAGGGGTGGTGAAAAATGATAGAAAAAAAAAAAAGAATGAAAATTGGCAAAAATAAAGAGGTTTAAAATAATTGTTAGAGATACCTGAAAATTTCTGGTTTAAGTGACTTTAATGATAGATTGTATTTTTCCTTGAGCTCCTTTTACCTAATTGCGTGTTGAGTCATGTTGGTGAGAATATATTCTATGGTAATATCATAAATTTCTTTTATGTTCAAAAAATTGTTTAAGATTTACTGTTAAGGGTTAGACAAAATATCATCTAATCTGTTAAAAAGAGAATTTCAAGGTTATAAAATTTGAGACTTCTAATTAAAAAAAAAATAGTATAGGTAAATTTGTTGAAATTTCACCAACCATTATTGATTAATCAAATAATATAATATCCTGGACCAATTGCATGTGATTTTTCTATTTAAAAAACTCAAAATAAACCTTCTATCATTAAATCGAAAAAAAAAAATTACAGATCTAACGAAACAGATTACTTAGCGGGAATAATAAAAAGAAATTAAAACAAAACAAAAAAGACAAAAAATGAAAAAGTTTATAAAAATCAAGAATATTTCAAATTAATTGTAAAGTGTCGTATTTTTATTCCATCAAGTGTTTAAACCATGTCCAAAATTTCGAATTTAGTTTATTATTATTACATCAATTTCCAATCAAAAATATATACTGATATTGAATAATTCATAGATAAAAAAAAAATATGGTATTTCCAAAAAATGTAGTATTTTTTGATCTTTTACTTAAAAAAAAAAACATCTTTGTTATGAGATATATTTTTAAATTGGTTTTATTTAATCAATAACTATTAGTTATGATCGAATATATGACAAAGGAATTATTTGGAAATATGTTGGTTAACCTATTTCCAAAGTTTGAAGAAAAAAAATACCTAATAAATTTCAATAAAAAGGGGAAATATGACAAAGACATAATTGATTGTAAATTAATGAAAATAGAGTTGTCAATTTTTTAATTCTAATAAAAATCCTTTCAATATTAAATAGGTTATGAAAATAGTTTTTTTTGATCAAAAAGAAATAAATAAACACAATCTTCACAGATAAAAAATCATCCGAGAAAATGAGAATCAGAAAAGTTAATATCTTTTTATTTATATAATACCATCATAAGAAACAAAATGATTTTTTATCAATAATCTATAATTTTTTTTTATTTTTTTACACTTTTAACCACTTTTATGGCAATTTGGTTGAATTAAGAAATTTAAAATAAATTTTCCACAATTTTTTAGAAATAGAATAAGCTATATCAAAATAACTAATAGTTTGAATAAAGAATTCGTTAATAATAAAAAAATGTTGGTTTATATTGTATGAGAAGTAGCAAACATCCTTTTTCGAACAAATAACTATTAGTTTTAATCACTTCTAACTTGAATGATTTAAATGTGTCGATAAACTTTTAAAAAAACAAAATTAAAAACTTTTTTTTTTTTTTGATATATTTACCTTTGTAAAATAATATAATCACTGAAAATGAAAAAGACTCCCAAAATGTTTGAAAATAATTTTCAAGTTATTTTTTTATTGTAAGTAACTATACAATTTTTAACTATTGAATTTTTTTTTTCTAAAGATAATTATTTATAAATTTGTATTATAACCTTTTCAGAACATGTGAAAACTAGAAATTTAATTTCAAAAACTATTTCGATTTTTTGGGGTTCTAACGAGAAGATTAATTTGACTTTTAGATAGAAAATTTTCAATCATACCATTTTTATGAAATAGTTAATAATCACAAATTCAACGAAAAAACAACAAAAAGAAGGGAAAAGAAAAACTAAAAACATAACACAAAAAATTTTCATAATTTTTTGTTTTTATTTTAATAGGGATCCAATATTCCAAGTTTATCCCACTTCAAAAAGTTTTTTTACACATTAATTGTCAGTGAAATAATACTTATTTGTTTTTCAAAAATGATTTTCTTTATTTTCTATTGTTTTTGATTAATTAGAATAATAAAAAAAACTATATGTTCTGAAAACTATTAAAAAAAGGAAATAAAAAATTGAATTAAAAAATTTTAAAGGATAACACCACTTGGGAGAATGTTCTTTAAATGGCCTTAAATGATAATCTGTTGGTATTTTTTGCTATTTTTACAATCTTAATATTATTGTTTTTATATCTATATTCATTTGGTTTGTGCAAAACTGTTGATTTTC